CGAACGCCCAGTTGCATGCCGACGAGACCCCCCAGAGCGAAGAATCCCGTGAGGACCCAGGAAAGGGCGCCTCCGTTCGCGACGTAGGCCGTCACGCCGGATGCGCTGACGAGGAAGATCACCAGCAGCGAGGTGGCCACCGCCGTATGAATCGCTAGGCCTCCAAAGAGCACCAACGCCGGCACGATCACAAACCCGCCCCCGACACCGAACAGCCCGGAGAGAACGCCTGTGGTGGTCCCAAGGGCCAAGAGCAAGGCGACGCATCGCCCACCGAGCTTTGGATGCCCCGCCGCGTCACGCTGGCAGACGAAGCCCGCGGCATCAGCGGCGCTCCCCTGACTTCGCGACGCACGCCACATCCGTGCGGCGACTATCAACATCAGGCCGCTAAATAGCAGGAGCAGGGCGGCTTCGGGCAGCAACTTTGAGAGTTGCGAACCTAAAGGCGCCCCAATCATTCCCGCGACGGCGAATATCAATCCCGTGCGAGCGTCGATTTCGCCACGGAAGTACCTCGCTGTGGCCCCTACCGGCGCGGTCAGCCCGACGGCGGCAAGTGACACCCCAACCGCTTCGCGAGCTGGGATTCCCATTCCGTAAACCAGCAGCGGAACCGCGAAGACCCCGCCTCCACCGCCGGTTAGCCCCAGCGCGAACCCGATGGCGACGCCGCCAACGATGGCAATGCCAACCACTCGATGCCTCTGGGCTAGGGACTGAGGATTATCGTTAAACCGCTTGCGACCCAAGGCTGCGTGCGTGCAGGCGGTCTTGGGGTACGCTCCGCCAGTTCTTGTGATTCGATACGTCGCGACAGGTCGATGTGTTAATCGCAACGAAGCCCGTTTACGTTTGAAAGCGCGCCTCGATGCAGTCAAGCAATCGGCCGAGATGCGGTTCCGCCACCCGGTAGTACACGCGGCGGCCCTCCCGGTCGCTCGCAAAGATGCCGCACCGCTGCATCAGTCGTAGGTGCTCCGATGCGACGTTCTCGGCCACGCCGCAGTCCGCCGCAATTTCGCCGACGGTGTACCGGTCGTGAAGCAACAGTTGTGCAATGCGAAGGCGAACCGGATGCGCCAGCGTCCGTAGACACTCCGCGGCTTGGCCAAGCGCCTCCAAGTCGAAAGCCTTGAGCCCACGCCTTCGGCTCCCGATTTCGACGGATTTGTTCCTTGTGGAATTGGTATCTGGCATATGGACTCTGAGGGATGCCGACCGTTGCGATAGCCCGTCTCGACTATCGGACATCGCAAGACGTCATAATATCGATACGTCACGAGGTGTCAATCGGTTCGCGACGCCTCACCGGTCCCAGCCGAAGTTGATTTCCGTCCCCGCTGCTTCAGAAAAATGCGGGCAGTGGAGCCTCGCCTGCGGCGCGATCGATCGGCCCCACAGGCGGCGGAGGGGGTCGTGGCGCCGGCTGCGCCCGCGCAAACCTGCGTAGAGGAGCCCTTGGTTAATCTCGTCGGCGCCTCTTCTCGTGCCTCATCCCATCGTTTGAAGCCAACAGCCGTCAGTAGCGGTCAGGCTCAGGCTTCGACCGAGAGCGCGCTCGAAGGTAAGCGAGCAACCGGCGCAGCTATCCGGAATCAATCCAGGCGAAGGGCGATCACCACGATTGATCGCGGAGGCATATCCACTTTGACATCGCCATCGACGATCCGGGCGCCATCGAATGCTTTAGGCTGAAGACGCTCGGGCTCGTCGAACGTGTTGTGGGCGTCGAGCTCCTCGGCGGTGAGGACCTTGCTGGTGACTTCCTTTGCTGTGGCGCCGTCGAGGTCCAAGGCGACGCTCATCGCTTCACGGGCGTGGGTGTTCACGATCGAGATGTCGATGACCCCCGCCTCCTTGGTCGAAGCGGAGACGCTGATCGCCGGGATCTTCTGATCGCCGTACTTGTAATCGCTGGCGCCGACATCGACCGGCAGACGCTTGGCGTCGTGATGGACCTTGAAGAGGTCGAGCACGTGATAAGTGGGCGTTAGCGCCATCTTCGGCCCGTCGGTGAGGATGAGCGCCTGGAGGACGTTCACCGTCTGCGCCAGATTGGCCATCACAACACGCTCGTTGTTCTCGTGGAAGATGTGCAGTGTCAGGCCCGCGACGAGCGCGTCACGCAGCGTGTTTTGCTGGTAGAGGGCGTAGCCCGGCGTGCCGGGTTCGCCACGGTACCAAGTTCCCCACTCGTCGACGATCAAGCCGATGCGCTTGTCGGGGTCGACCGGGTCCATCGCGTCCTCGGCCTCGTGAATGGCGCNNTGCTGAACCAAGCCTCCTCGTCGAAGCCGGTCGCGGGCCGCTTGTCGCTCCAGGGCGCGGCGAGGGTGTAGTAGTGCAGCGAGTAGCCTTGCATTTGGCGGTGGGCCCGGTGCATCACCACTTGGTTCCAGTTCTTGTCGAAGCCGCTCGGCCCGCAAGCGACGCGGTAGAGCTCGTTGCCGCTGAAGTCGCGGCAGAACATCGCGTAGCGGCGGTAGAGGTCGGCGTAGTACTCGGGCCGCATATCGCCGCCGCAGCCCCAGTTCTCGTTGCCGACGCCCAGGTACTTGAGCTTCCAAGGCTTTTCGCGGCCATGGCTGCGGCGCAGGTTGGCGAGTTCGCTGTCGCCGTCGTGGGTGATGTACTCGACCCAGTCGCGCAGCTCTTGAGGCGTGCCGCTGCCGACGTTGCCGGCGAGGTACGGCTCGGCGCCGAGCTCTTCGCAGAGGTTGAGGAACTCGTGGGTGCCGAAGGCATTGGTCTCGACCTCTTGGCCCCAATGGATGTTGATCCGCTTGGGGCGTTCTTCCACGGGGCCGATGCCGTCACGCCAATGATAGTCGTCGGCGAAGCAACCGCCGGGCCAGCGTAGGTTGGGGATTTTGATCGCCTTGAGCGCGTCGATGATGTCGGTCCGCACGCCGTTCTTGTTCGGGATGTCGGAGTCCTCGCCGACCCAGATGCCGTCGTAGACGCAGCGGCCGAGGTGCTCGGCGAAGTGGCCGTAGAGGTGGCGGCTGATCTTCCCGCCGTCCTCGCTGGCGTGAATCGTGCAGGCGACTTGTTCGCCGTGAGCGATCCCGGCGACAAACAGAAGCAGAGTTAGAAGGCTACGCATCGATGCTTGCATGGCGCGGGGGTGACAGAGACGTCGGATGACAGTTGGCGTGCAGGAAGAGCAGACGCGAAGAGGGCAGTGTCGCAGCGGGCGCGCTTTCGCCCGGCGAGACCGTTGCGACCTTATGGAGGTTAGTCCACCCCTTATCTCCGTGCAACGCTCGGCCAGGGCACGGGAGGCGAGGCCGTGAGCAAGGGATTCGAGATAGTCTCGTACGACGGTCTGCAAAGGTGAGTGCGAGTTGCTTGCCAATCAGATTGAGGCATTTAGATCGCTTCCTTGATGGCCGTAAAAAAACCTAAACTCGCCCCGTGGCGGCGTCGGTGAGTGGCGTGGTCAACGCTCCGGATGATCGCAAAAGCAGAGCCGAATCCCGCAAACAATGTTCTGGCTGTTGCACCGAGGGGGCGTGGCGATACTCTGAAATGTCGGTGGGACCAGGCGCCTCAGCGGTCCGTGCGGCAAGACGTTGAACTGCGTCCCGCTGCGGCTATGCTCCACCGGCCTTATCTGACGTTCACTCCTCCGATCTTTTCACCCAGCCTTACGGCAAGCGTCTCCAGTACTGGCGTCGCCAGTTCGAGCGAGTGCGTATAGAAGCTTGCCCGCGGCGAGTCGATCGAGCTTCGCCCCATGGAAAAGATGATTGGCAACCTCCGGAATGGATTTTTTTTAGGCACGAGTCTGGCGTCGCTGGCCCTGATGGCGACAGCGGCGACCGCACAGACGAACGGAACCTGGGCCGCGCCGACGAGTGGAGATTACAACGACAGCGGTAATTGGGTCGGTGGCGTTATCGCCAATGGTTCGGGCGCCACGGCTGACTTCAGCCAGATCGACCTGAACGGTGATATCTCGGTGAACATCGGATCGAACCGGACCCTCACCAACCTAGTATTCGGCGATACGAATCTCGCCACGGGAGGCACGGTCGAGGTCTCCTCGACTTCGAGCCCGATCTCGACCGTCACGCTTGCGGGCGCCGCTCCGACAATTACCGTCAACGCGCTTACGCCGACGGCCTTTGATGACGTGTTCTTCGCGCCGTACCTCGCCGGCGCCAACGGCTTCACGAAGCAGGGCGCCGGCGTCTTGACGCTCGGCGGCGTCGCCGACGCCGCG